ATTTTGTGTTTTATAGAAAGGGGAGGGGCTATAGTGTTTGGGCTTATATGAATACTTTTCTTCATACAACTTTGCTAAGGACATGGATCTCATCAAGGTAGTAGGACTTTGAGCCACCACATCACGATGAATGTCAATTTTTAAGCCACCAATAAAACAGTCCAGTAACGCCTCTGTTGTAACACCTTGAACTTGATTGGCTAACTTCGTAAACTGAACATAATACTCCTGCACAGAGCCTGTTTGTATGAGCTTAAACAAATCTGATCTTGGACATTCATAGGGTGAAGGTCAAAATTCGAGCTCAAGAGCTCTGGTCAAACCAATCCACAACATAAAAGGAGCAGTCGGAGACATCATTTGAAACCATGGAACCACCTCTTTATAAGTGAATAGACGCAATGGTTAATCTCTGATCATCCGGTGTATTATAATAATTAAATAATTTCTCAGCCTTAAAGATCCACTACAACACATCGCAACCATCAAATATTGGAAAATCGATTTTTAACGTTACGCACCTAAAACGGAGTTCTAGTCCCCCCGTTGCTTGAGCCAGGTGCTGGATCAATTTTTTTTTTTTTTCTGAATCAAATCATCAATAATAGCTTCAATGGTGGTGAAATGCATGTTATAGTACGTGCTCTACGCGATACACATGGAGTCCGCCTTGGAAGGTGATAGACTATGGCCAAGGCCAAGGAATCCAAGAGGAGATACATTAAAAGAACCAAGAGGAATGAGATGATTTTGAAGACCTTTTTCATATGTTGTAAATATCTTGTACATAGTTCTCTTGTATAGGCTTATTTTTGCCTTTGTATTTGTGAGGCACTTTAGTTTCTTTTATTAGTCATTACATATTGATTCTAGGGTGGGTTACTTGGAGAGTTTGACTCCATTTAACCTCTTTTATTGATACACTCATTTTCTATTTTTTCAGTAGTAGAAGTGGGGTGGCATTTAGCAATGCTTGAGGGTGTGACTAGTAATTGGGCCAGAATTGGGCCTAGGCAAAATTTTACATATTGGACTCATTTTGCTCCTAATTTTTCATAGATTTGATTTAGCTAGGTCTCATCATCATTGGATGAACCTAACTAAACCAAATCAAACATTTTTGAAATAATCAAAGTGAGCAAAATAGGACCTTGGCCGCCCACCTTTGCCTAGCTCTTTGTCTTGGCCAAATTGCTTATCCTTTCTCAAAGTTGAGAAGCTTGTGCTACAAGCTTCTCCTAGCTTGCTTCCCAAGCAAGCTAAGTGAGAAGCTTGCTCCACAAGCCTCTTAACTAGCTTGGATGGTCAAGCCAACCAAACCATGGTTCACTTGAACCATGGTTAAGGTTAGCTTGCTCCATAAGCTACCTACTTCTATAAATTTGTAAACCTTTCATTTTCCCTCACTTTGGATGAATGAAATCAGAATTTCTAAAAGAATTCTCTCTTCTCAAAGTCTCAAAACCGTGGAGAACAAGTTCTCCCTAGTTCCTTCACAAAGGTTTCCACCTTTGTGCCTTGGAGCCTCCATCTTCTACTTCTTCAAGGAGTAACCGAGCACTCCTTAGTGCTTCTTCACCATTGGAGCTTCTTCAAAGGTGTTTCTTCATCATTGGAGTGTCTAACCTCAAGAGAAGAAAGGGACTTAGCATGGTTCAACTTGAAGAACATCAATCTTCTCCAAGTGGTTCCATCAGAAGGCAGTCCCTTCTCGAGGGAGGAAGTCAGAAAGGGATTTAAGAGATAGGAACTGCCGCGGTAAGAAAGAGTCACTCAGTGAATCAGTGGATCACACACTTGTTGGAGACAGGGACATGCCGACCACCTACCTTTCCAACTAAGTCCAATGCAAGGACCCTTTAATTGATGATGCGTTCCGTCGTCAGCAAGCGGTGGCCGACAAGGCCCTTTTCCCTAAATCTCTTGGGAAGCGAAGCAAGCTTTCTGATTCTGAGAGAAAGATAGAAATCAAAAGGCAAAGATATAGGCATGCCAAACCAAATAAGGAATGTTTTAATCTTTACCTCTTTTTGTCAGCCGAAAATCATAGGGTAAGCCCATTTCTTGGAGAAAGTTTACATGTTGGGCCAGGCTAGTTTGCTTCGATGGTAGGATTCCACGCAGTGAGGCAACCATTTCCAGCCCAGCCAACGAATAGGATCCAATAGAGTAGCCCGCATTGCAAGCTCTTTTCTTTCCTCCAGTACGTACATATAGATTCTTTCTTATTACCAGATAGGAGACCTACCTATCCCTATAGCGGAAGTCTTTCCCGCAAGCGGCGGGATAGGGGAAATGCAATTGATCCAGCAAGTAAGCCAATGAAAGAAAGGAAAGAATATATGTGCTTAGCTCTGTAGATTCAATAAGTAAGAAAAAATTCTAAGGCAAGAAGTTTGAAAACAATTCATTCCAGCCATTTCTAGTGACCTTTTTGGGGGTTGGTTCTATGCAAGGCAATCGAATATGGTCCCTGTCTGTCATCCAATCCAATAGGCATTTAGGGATCCCCCTTTTTATATAAAAGTGAGATTTTGGTAGTCCTATGCCTGTCACTCCAGCTTGTCTATGTCTATGGGTTTGCATATGTCTTTTCAAGGGTTGGCCTGGCATTTTATAATGACCTTAAATGAAAGCGTAAGAATTAATGATAAGGAGCTAAAGGCCTACATTCTAGTATACTAGGATCTTCACGAAAGGATTGTGGAAGGTCTAACTATGGACCGGACCATAAGACGCAGTTTCTTATGGCCTAATATAGGATATCTTTATGTTCTACTGAAAAGAGATAAGCACTAAGAAGACGACTATTTTTTGTTGAATATGCTTTCTTCCACAATATGGAGGGAGTAACACTATCATATGGTTTTTATGCAATACAATAGTAGAGTCAGAAAATATCCCTTATAGTAGTCTAGTATAGAACCAACCTATCTAAGATCCTTTGCTAAAGAGCTACCCAATACCCCCCAACCTGTTAGAGTACCAGGGGCAATAGAAAAATTTAGGAATGAATCTTTCCATTAACATTAAGGCTTGAAGATCTAGGCCCCTCCAATAGCATAAAAAAGGTAAGCCTTTGGAGTGTAAGTGTCAATTCCCAACCATCTAGTTCTAATGGAAGTTGTAGTTGCAAAGCCAGTTTAAGAAAGTTCATTTTCAAGCTGGTAAGGGCCTGGTACGTGTGACTGCAAGAAAATGTTTCCCTACAGTTGCATTGACCCTTACCTTTTTCGGGCTTCCATGTGAGCCAGTAACAGCAGTGGTAAGGTACACCTATGCCTTTTCCTTTTTTTTTAAGGGGATCTAGGACTTAATATAAAGATAGGACCAAAGTCAAGTGATTCAACTCAAGCACGAACCGCTACCTCTTCTTCTCCGACTTCAGCATAAAAAGTCAAACAACTCATTATCTCATGTCAACAGCGCATTCGTTCACTCAAATAGCGCATTTGTGAGCTCTAAGTCCAAGAGCCTATCTGGTACGAGAAGTGAAGGGTGAATGTGAAATTCTCTTATTTAGTTTAGCGAGAGTCGAAAGGTCATAAGCAAGTGGCTATGGGGAAGTCAGAGTATAAGAATCACTAATTGGAATGGTATCGAAGGCGACCATGGGGAGCTTTGTAAAGCTGAGTAAGTGATCCGAAGGAGAAGCTGTGACAACTCCTCTTTCATCAGTTTCATTTGAGAAGGTGAGGGAATTAATAGAGTCATATTCCAAAAAAATGGCTATTCTTTTTTTTTTTTTTATATATAAGTATTTCGGGAAGAGCTTCAAGGAGAAAGGCGAAAGAATTTTTATTTATATATGGAAAGTAGGTCCAGTCCGTGCAAATCTTGGAGAGTCTATCATCATAGCTGGACCTAGATGAAGCCATGTCCTTATTCGCGAACTATAGAAAACGTGTCTGAAGCATAGTGCCAGTAGGAAAGTCTTTCTTTGAGAGAGTTCGATAAGGCTAACGGTAGCAAGCATTCCTTCGAAGCAAAGGAGGCAAAGTAGTAGGACGCTTGATAGCCAATCTGTTTAATAATGAAATATCTAGTAGAAAGCTGATCAAACTCTTGAAAGCAAGGAGCAATCCAATCAGTGCGAGCGGTAAGTCCATTCAATCCAGTGAGTGGGAGGTCGTCGTGAATGAATGGGTCTTTTAGAGGGTTCAGTTCCCACGGGTAAGATGCTTATGAGTAGGTGCGGGTTAGTAGCAAGAAGGCTTTATTACTTAAATGAAAAAAAAACATAAATAAGTGAAGATCTGGTTGATTCCATTCTAGAGTCACTAAGGGAAATGACTCTAGATTGAGATCATGCCACCTTTTTTCTATCCATCTTAGTCTGATATCTTTGGTCTTTTTCCCATGTCTTTCTTGGTTGAAGAGCAAGAAAATAATGAAGAAGGGGTAGAATTACGGAATGAATACGAGCTGTGGCTAATACCCAAGGCATAAAAGAAGCATCTCCTACGGGATCCCGAAACCACCAGCCACCCCGACCTAATTCATGATGAGCCCACAAACTTCCTAGCATGATGCCCGCGATTAAAAACCACCGACATGTCAAGATCCAAATTCGAATCTATTCATGGTCCTAGTCAGATACCACTGTGTTCGCGCAGGCGCTCAAACAAAGAGGCAAAGTAATGGTATCTTTTTGTTCATTACGAACGACATGCTTCGCTTGCTCCCCCCCTCCCGTGTACACTAGCGCTCCTGTCCAGAGCGAAGAGAAGGCGAAAAAGCGCCGCCAAAGCAGCATGAGCAGGCTTCTATTGCTACGCAACAAGAGAGCTGGATAGCATTTTGCGACCACATGTTTAAATTTTTTGGTAAAAAGCTCGCTTGTTATACGGGATCCGACGCATCCAGCAGAGCGAAGCAGCGTTCCCTTCTTTTCGGCGGCATCCTTCCGCATTGGCGGCGAGTGGAGTGCCACAATCCCATTCATCATTTTTGATCTACATAATCCAAATCCCATAGCACTGGCGACGTCTCCGGCATAAATGCAAGGAGGATGTATAGCTGATATAGGATCTTGTGGAACAGGATTTGATTCTGCAAGCGGTTCGGTACGAACGAAGAAATTTCGAACAAAAGGATCGGAACTCGCTGATAGGAAAGGAGAGAAAAACAAAGCAATGCCAAGAGCTCCGTCAATCCGCTGTTCATCGATAGACGAAGCTCTCTCTTTATCATCTCGTGCCAGATGCAACAAAGGATGAGTCCTTCTTTTTCCTTCTCGCGAACCACGGGAGCGCCTAGCACCCAGAGGAGCTAACCTCATTTTCCTTTCAGGGTAAAGCGACACATAAAAAAGGGTTGGCCCGTCAAACGTTTGATTCCTTCACGAACGAAGTTCAGAATCAACAAGGGTTCATAGAACGAAGGGAGTGTACAACTGGGGCACAACCCCACTTTTTTTTTCGTAACGAGGGAGAGATAGAATGGAGTTCTTCACGAAGTTTGAGACAAAGTAATACAAAACTTCTATATGGCCTCCTCGTTTTGAGACATTATGGCTTTGGGGTCGACCCCAGTAACAAAGAAGGAATCCATAAAAACGTGGGATCCGACACCATGATAAAATACTACCCTCATGATTAGATCATGTCCTTGAGATTTGATAAAAGAAAGATGCATTAGCGGTTAATATGTTGTAATTGGATAAGTTTTTAGGAATATGATGGAACGAAAGACCAAGGAAAGAAAGAAGAATGCACAAAAATGCAGGTGCTGCACCAAACGCTGGTGGTTGTTTCTTGTTGTAAGTGAATGCAACGAAAAGACCTGGAAATAACAATAAATGAAATAATTCATAAATTATTGACATTTCGTGCTGTGCTCATTTCAAAATTTCTGCTTTGTCCCATCATCCGGTAACCACAGGACAGGATGATCCACAAGAAAGGTGGCTATACATACAAATCCATTTACGGATAGATATGCTTCGTTTGGAACTGGAAGTTCCAGAACAGGCGGCTGGTATACCACCATAATGAAACTGCCTTTTATTTTTTTTTATTCGGATAGGATTTATGTTGGCTTCGTCGGGAGGCTCGCGTACGTCAGCTCCAAATGGATAAGTTGCGTTGGAATCGAGAAAGTTCCGTGGAATTTAAACATTAATAAAAAAATAAAAGGAGACGATTGAATAAAGGTTTTTTGGTCCACTGAGCCCCTCTACTTCTTATTGACGAGACTGCTAAAAAGAGGTGCGCCATAACGAGTCCTCTATTGTGGGAGGGATAGGCAGAGGAGGTCTTTCGACAAGATCCTGATGTTGTCACACGAATGACTCAAGAAGAAGAAGTTATGATCACTCTACTACTTTCTGTTCAGCATGCTAGCTTGGCTGAAAGGGCCTTGCCACTGGAATTCTTTGATCGGCGTACCAGTATTGACCTTTTGCTTGGCACTCTTCATCGCTAAACCCTTGAGCCCCACCGGACGAATCTGTTCTACCTGCCTTTCCCGGATCCTATGGTAAAGCATATGTCCCTTTCCTAACTTTTTAGTCGACTTAAGCCTTACTTCCCAATGACAAAATAGATATCTTGTCCTGCATAGATTGGCTCTATTATATAAGTGAATAGATCAAAGCCTCCCTTTTTCATGCACGAGCATCCATCGCAGACTGGCTCTTAAACAAAGAAGGAAGGAAGTCTTGTACGCATTTGAGAATTGTCTTTTTCCTTTTTCTAACTCATTTGTAAGTGCTAGTTTTAGGTTCCACCTAACCCATAATCAAATAGAATTAAAGTGGGGATCAAGCCCTGCTCTATTGGTTACTAGGCTGGTCCACTTTTTGGTTTTTTCGAATCACAATGGTGTAAAGAGGGCTCTTCCTCCCGACGAAGATAGGTCTTCCCGAAGGCGGCTGGGCTTAATCTTTTTGTTCTATTTTCTTCTCTTAGTCTGGTGAATTCATTTCTTCTTGGTACTCGTTGAAGAATCTAGTGCTTGCATCCGCTCAAAAGCTCTATCAACGGAATTAATTAAATTAAAAAAATAAAGAAAAAAGGGCGTCGATAGACAATAAGGAGCGAAAGCCACTCAGTTGATTGCTAAATCTCTAGTTCGTGAGAAGGATTTGCTGCTTGAATTGATAGAGGAATAAGACAAGGGCTTATAGCCCCATATCTTTTTTTCTTTTGTAATAGGAATGGAGTCTCTTTCAAGGAAACTCAAGCAGGAAGCCAGAACTAATCCAAACTTCAGTTATCATAAAAATTGCAGAAAGAATGAGATTAATCATCTTTGTTTTGCGGATGATTTACTAATTTTTTGCTCAAGCGCTAAATATTCCATTGCTATGGTCAATCAATGCTTAAAAGAATTTGCAAATGTTTCTGGTCGCATATTCAAGAGTACAATATACTATGGAGATCTTTCTGATGCTGCAAAGTGAAATATTTTCTAATTGGCTTCAATGAAGGTAAAATTCCAATGAAGTACCTGGGATTGCCAGTCCTTCAAAGCTCTCAGTTAGTGATTGTTTGCCTCTATTTGAGAGAATCAAACAAAGCTAGAGTACAGAGATGGACTGGAAAATACCTCTGCTAGATAATTGGTTCAGAGTGCCCTCTTTAGCATGCAAGTTTACTGGAGTACAGTGTTCATATTGCCAGTGCAGGTTTTGATTTGAAGACAATGGATAAGATCTGTAGAGGGTTCTTATGGTCTGGTCCTGATATAAGAACAAAGGGAATGTTGCTTGGAAATTTGCTGCCCGAAGGTGGTTCGGGCTTCATTGGTGGAGTGGAATAAAGCTGCTATGTTGCAGCATATCTGGGGAATGAAGGATACGCTAGTCTTACGAGGAGGAGAAGCACGTAATGGGAACGATATTGGAGCTTCAGGTTGGTACATTGCACGCATTAAAACCTTAACTCTTAGAACAAGTCTTTCCTTGTTATACCTTGTTTTTCGCTCGGTATAACCCCAATTCCTCTTGCATTTGCTTGTAATTCTCATTGTTTCCCCTTGTTTTACTCGTTCTCTCTATCGTAAACCTGCTTACAGTGCTGTTAATCTTAGTAGCGTACTTGACTAAAGGCAAGAGCAAGGAAAGGAAATGGCATTTTGAACAATATTCCATAGAAGGTGCAGATGAATAAGCGGTATTGGAGGAAGGAACAACCATAGTTGATGCATCGAATGCTAGTGCAATAAGACTTGATGAAGGCAGGATAATGGCACTTTCCTTCAAGCTTAAAACTAATTGACCATGAGAGTAAGATAAATAGTCTATCCCCGAGCACATGAATGAGTGTGTGGAAATTCATTGGGATGACCGCCGAGGTACTTACTTGAGCAAGGGGTAAGCCTTCTCTTTTGTACCTTCATTCAAAGCATCGAAAGGCCTTAAGCTACGAAAGAATACGAGAAAACATATTCCCATAGAAAGACCTTGATCAAAGAACGAAGGGAGTGCTTCAATTCCCTTTAGCGGGGTGTAAAGCATTATGATTGTCCTTCTTTTGCAGAAGCTAGCTAGCGAACTCATTCAATACCCTATCTATTGAGCTACCTTTTGTTCAATTGGATACTCCTACTCTGTTAAAGCCTGCCATGGAAGGGAAAGCTTGTCAAATAGACAGCATAAAGGCATTGATGAGCTAAAGGAGCAACCAGAACGGGGAGAACTTTCCTTTGCTTCCAACTTGTTTAAGTCAACTAATGCCATGGGTCATTCCCTTGTTTACGAAACTGGGCTATTCAAAGCATCCAATCCGAATCTGGGATCTTGAGAGATTGAATCATAGCTATGTAAAGTAGCCTTGGGCTGAGACGTGACCTCTTCTCCTCGTTTTCATTGGGTCACTCACTCGCCTACAGGTGAGAGAATAAAGAAGTGTTCACAGCTTATGAAACCATAGCTATTATTGTTCCCATGAAAGCAAGAGTGAAGAGTCGACAAAAGTTCACCACAAAAAGCATAGTCACAAGGGCTGAAAGAAGAGTGATTTGAATTACCCTCGGGTAACTTAACTCGCTTCCTTAACTACCTTTCCAGAGGACCTAGAGTCACTCGCTTCCTTTGGAACAAGAGTCAGAACTCATAGTCATCGCCTTTCCCTTCAAGCAATAGAACAAGTTCCCAGGTACCATTCTTTTGGAGTGCCTCTTTCTCTTCAACCATAGCCCTTCTCCATTTAGGATGAGAAAGGGCCTCCCGTAGACTTTTAGGCTTTTTTTGCAGAAGAAAGAGCAAGAGACCTGTAGGAAGGGAAGGAGAAAGGCCTTCAAAGCTAAGGAAAGAAATGGAGTGATGGGATGAATAGTACAAGAACGTTTCCCTTATCTCAAAGCAATAGAAAGATCCATTTTTGAATCAAAAGAAACAAACAGGAGTAATAGGCAATAACGAAGAAGATTCAATATCCCCAGCCCCATTCTCCAATTGATTAACTGATTGCGCCATAAAGACTAGAGTGCTAGATTGATAGATGGAATGCTGACTCTGCTAGGCTGGATTTCTTGCTTCATATAGGCTCTCCTATAGAAGATCGCTTGAAGAGGGCTGTTTGATACAGAAAAGAGGAATACGAAAGAAAAGAAGAAAGAGTGGTTATTGTTATTACGTAGTCTTGTCTTTAAGCTAAAAGCCAGGAACAAGAAGACCGAAAGGCAAGGCCTCTTTAGTACCACCATAAAAAGAATTCTTCTTCGTTAGTAGCTCAAATCCAAGCCTAGCTTTTCTTTCTTGTTGGAATTGTCTCGCATCTGAAAAGAGATAAAAAAGACCGAGGCTGGCATTAGATGCTTGAACAATCTCTTCGTTGAGCTCCTTTCTACAAGAACTTATTTTCATTTCGAGATGCGCCTTATCCGGGATAAGAGTCAGGGGTGTAGCGAGCAACAAATCCTTATGTTCGGGAACAGTCTTCTTTTCTCTTGACACACTACCTACCCCGTCTCTGCCTTCTTTGTGTTAGTGTTCGTTAACTTCCTCCCTCCTTCGGGTGAATGAAGTTGATTGACCTAGCCTACATTCCATATTAGAGTGAGGTCTTGACATCCTTTTCCTGGGTACTATCCCAAAAGGAAGTCACTAGACTGAAAAGGAGAGGTACGAAGTCATACTCTCTTATTTTTACGAGTAGGAGATTCGATATTGGGCTTCTTACGGATGTGGTGTCAGAGGCTAAGACAGCCCTCCTTCCCTTCTTGATTCATCCCTATACACAATATCATACCTAGTGAAAGTAAGTCATCAGTCAGTAGTGAGTCGAGCCTATTAGCTATTATAGCCAAGGACCGAT